CAAAGGTTTCGTTTCCCTCATCGAACTTCTGTAGTTGAATTCCTCTTAGATCCATTGTATTTGTATTTCCTTGGTTTTGGTGTAAGTTTTGTAGCACTTCTGTAATTTGTTTTAGTACTTCCTCCATTTCTATTTCGTATATAGTGTAACGTAGACGTAGGTAAACGTAAATACTTTTTTTTTTTTTTTCCTCGTTTCTTTACTTTTTTCCTTCCTCTACTTTTATCCTCGCTCTACTTTTATCCTCGTCGCCACTTGTTGTGTATGTACTCGTAATCGTAAGTAAACTCTCGTAATTGAACTCGTTAATACATTTTATTCATTCCTTGTAACGTATCTAATCACAATATAAAAGTGACAATGGCAATTCATTTTCTTATTCTACTAAATGCATGAATAATTTCTACCCAATGAATGTATACTTTCTACTAAATGAATTCCCCTGCTTTCTTACCAATTCCTAGATGGCGTATCTGACAGTAAGTATGAATGCGTATGTTAATTTATTCGAGTCAAGCATCAGTTTTTTCAACATGTCGCGAAATACATCAAAAAAATATGAGGAGGTTATGAGAGAGTTCATTGACATCTATAAAGAAATGAATGTACAGTGATGCCTCGCACAGCGAACGCTGCACACAACGAACTTCCTGTTCGTTCATTTCATGATTCATACAACGAACTTCGCTTCACACAACGAAGTCGCCCGAGCTTCGCGGAGGCGCTGCAGGCAGTCGTTAGTCAAGACAAGAAAGAAGCAGAAAAGTTCTCTATTAACTTTCAAAAATTTATTAAGGATGAAGGATACTGTCCACAACAAGTGTTCAATGCCGATGAAACGGGTTGTTCAAAGTTTTTATAATTTATATATTAGTCGGCCGTTCCGTATTTTATTCGTTATTGTTATTCAGTTGTTCTATCGAGTTGTTGTAGTTGACATCAAAAAGCGTAATAAATCGTTCCGTGTAATTTTCGTTAAAAAAGTAGTTTTCAATCGTGTTAATAGATACACACGTTCGATAGAAGCACTTCGGCTTTTATTTTCTATTCGAAGAGATACTTTTACTTATTCTACAAGAACAGTAAGACTTTTCCTTTTTTTGACAGTTTTTTTTTCTAACACCCGGGTTTTTAAGTAACTTTCTATAAGCGTCTCAGATTTTTCCCGCGCCGGTCTCGACTATTTCTTAACATTTTTTGGTCCTTCGAGCCGGATATAACCGGAAGTGCGGAGAGAAGGCCGAGATTTTTTGAGACGTTTTGAGTATTTTTCGATTTTTCATTTTCGTTATTGTGTGTTTACGTTACCATGGCGACCGCTCGTGAAATTGACTTAAACCCGATTTTCGAACGGCAAAATGACATTCACGGGTTAATTTCTCGGACAATAGATAATTTGAAAAAGCTCGCGATCGCTAAACGTACTCGCGGAAACTTTCAAAGTCGTTTGGAACGACTTGAGACTAATTGGGATGAGTTTAATAATGCTTATAAATAATTAATTCAATATCGCGACAAGTATTCGGATACGATATATTTCACCGAGGACATTTTTTCTGAATGTGAGGAAGCTTATTTCGATATACGTTTATCGATTCTGAAAAATGGTATAACTACCACCGAGGATTCTTAGAAAATTATTAGATCAATTAAATTGTTTTTTTTCTATTACAAAGGTTAAGTTTTACAGAAATATAGAAACATACAAAAAACAAAATACAGAAAAATATGACGTCTGTAACTGCATTGAGGTAGGACGTCCTTTTTCGCGCAGGAAGGTGTTGTTCAGCTTCTAGAATTGATCTGAAACAAAATTTTTTGAGCTTTTGTTGTTCTTTGGG